TCAGTCAAGAATTGAAATGTCTCGTTTTCGGTCAACTTCCACTACGGAAATCCGTAATTATTTTATGAGAGGAAAGAGTCTGTCTGGAACAATTCATGGTTTTTTGCCAGCAGAAAAGCTATGAATTCTGTGCGACTACCCCAAAACTCTCGTGATCGCACAAATCCTGAAAGATTGGGTGAGGAGAACGGTGAGGAATATTAGGAGTAGGTACACAGTTGGAATTGATATGGAAAACTGTACATCAAATATTGTTCATGAAATAATCTTCCTGAATATCACTCGACCAAGACAAATCGAGACTATTATTTTCTTTAATCCATCTGGAGTAATTTGTATTTTGAGACAATTCAATTCGACCATATGAACATTAATAATCATAGAATAACTCCCTCTCGAGCTTCATCCAATTGTCAAAATACATGGTACCTACTCTCGATAGAACTATGAAGAAAATAATTCGGCTATTTGTCATGGTCTGCGATATTACCTGCGATTATAAACTCAGTGGAAAAACACTCCACAAGTGCCTGTCAATGAAATTCGCTATAATTCTAGGTGACAATAATTCCAGATTTCAACTTGATATGTTACCTGTGAGATAACTCATCTTACTATCTCTGCAAAAAAAATTGATAGTCAATTCAATGTACACTGAAACCATAGTTCCGTGGTGATTTATCTCTATTTCCTTGCGCCTGCCACTTCCCACTTCCGTGTTTCCGAGTTCCGTTCGCTAGACGCCTATTGCAGGAAATGAACATGTTGTCAATCTGGCAACGCTGCGCAGGAATGGGCATTGAACGGCGAATGCCGAATGCATTGCTCAGACGAGTGACGTCGCATTGCACACCGGCGCACACCCCCTCGAACCCCTTGTCGAGCAGGCGCACTAGCGCTTATGAGTTCCTAACGCGAAGCGCGCCAGTGTTGCCAATCATTCTATACTGTAACCAGAAATGCTATCAATAATAATAGGTGATGATACGGGTAATGCGGATCCCTAGTATATCCTCTTGTATATTCTCGACATTGGCATTTGGTTATTGGTATGAGATCAGAATTAGACACGAATGGTTCATTGTTGAATCAGGATATTAATGAGTGGCACTTTAATCGACAAGCGATTGCAAAATATGCGGGTCAAACAAATGAGTCACTTACCACGAATCAAATGTTTTATATTTCCTGCGATCACTCTCAGGAATAAAAAATTAAATTGAAATGGACTAGAAAGTACAGGCGCAAATCTGTGATTCGAGTCTTCAAGAATAAGGAATGATTGTCGTTCCGTGACACATTGGTATGCAACCAACAATACCAGTCAGACCAACTCGACAAGCCCAGTCAGCACCATAGTAGATAACAGAAGATGAACTAGAATTCAGTAATCTTTGGTTAGCACCAAGGACTATCTTTCGTTGTCAACCTTGAAATATGTCTGACAACACTTTTCCAAAATTCCTTTGTTTGAACTCAATCTTAAAATATGTCTAACAACATAATTTTTCAAAATTTGTTTGTCAGAACGGCAAAGCTTTGGAATGCTCTGCCAATGGAAAGTATTCCTAAGAACTTATAATCTCCTCTCCCTGTCTTCCCAAAGCACGCACGATGTTCTTCGAACATTATAGGGATTCCCTTTCGCCAAACAAAAAAATAACCATATTTCACTTGGAAAGGGTCAGGCATTTTGTGCTATTTGTTGGCAGCAGTTACTGTAAAATCGAGTGTTATATGTCAAATGCATTGTCTTTTGTCAATGTAATTTATAATCAATTTGACAAAGGGGAGGGTCCAAAAGAAGTTGTTCTCGCTCTTATTTTCAATCATTAACACTACAACAGTTTCCATTTCGAGAGCTGCGCAGTTTTCATGCACATTTGACACTGAATGTCTAACCGTTGAAAATATGGTCAATATACATTCGCCGTAGAGTGGAGAGATGAAGATAACTGTCACGTTGTCAAACCCAAACTGAGATTTACTGAGAAAGGAGTTACAGGAAACTTATGACAAATATCCAATTGTTTTGTTTTTTTCTGTGACGCGGAAAAAAGTTCGAATTTTCATCTCTGTCGACAGGTTATAAAATGACACTTTTATGTAATAAAATTCTTTTTTCCACGGGAAAAAAGTGAGTACCTTTTTCCCGGATATATATCACACATATGTACACTGTCGATGGCTTTTATTGTGCTATAGTTTCGAAATATATATAAGCCAATAACACCGTCTCCGAGAGAGAACTGCAGTCCTTTTTTCTTCCATTTGACTTCGCGATCACGTAAATTACTAAACAACAATTAGATTCGCATTTATTGAAATCAAATCACACAATAAGACTGACAGATATTTGATTACTTCAAAAGAATGATAAAGATGTCATTCCTGTTAAGCACCTCAAATTTCACGTCGATAATTTTCTGATTTAAATATATTGTAATATCTTCTCAATATTGGCTCGTCCTTCTTCCTGTCACAGAAAAAAATAGTGTATTATACACGGGAAAAATATTAGATTTTAGCTCACAACCTGGAAATAAAATCTACAACTTTTTTTCCTTGAATGATAAATAATTAATATTCTGTGCCACCGATATCCACTGACTGAGACAGGTAGTGTATTGATTCCGGAAAGGACAAAATTGATTAGGAATCGGAAATTCGAAACAAATGCGATTATCCATAACAATACATCAGCATATTCAATTTGAACGAATTCTGAGGATTGATCCAAATAAAGGTCAATTCTTTTCTTATTACTATCACACGATTGTGCTCCTGGCCTACTATAATTACCTATCGAAATTAATTTTTCGCAAAAACTATGAGCATAAAATCGATAGTTATGTCAAAAATGATGTTGTTCTCAGTAAATTATAAGTTGAACAGTCTAAATTCTGTATTCCATATTTATACCCCTTCAAATTATTTCATTGGTGTACTATTTGAATAGTGTATAATTATTAACAGTCCTGCGCATGTGGATAGCGATGATATTTCGGATGAAATCAATTTTGATATGTTGTTTTATTCGTCTCAAAAAACTACTTAGCTCTGTTTTCATCAACTTCTTACTGAGGTAAGTTTACGCAAATGAGGGCTAGCATTATGAGTCTCACCAGGTAGCGCCTTACTAAAGCTTGAAACAGCATGATGTTAGTATGCCTATGTGAACAAATACAAAATAGTTGTGTATCGGCCGTGTGTCGTTTTGATTCCAAGGAAAGAACAAATAGTAGGAGATCCGGCTGCAGATTCCTACCGTCATCTGATAATGAAATGATATGTCCCAAAAGAAAGTCAGAAACATTGTAGTTCATCGAACGGCACCTGTGCCAATTACTATCCTGAGCAAGATGATGAAAAAATTGCACTTTCATGTTAGAAAATTTGCTCTTTCATGTGCGGAAATTTGCAGCCGATTTCGCGATTTGATTACGAGATAAGAATTATATGCCAACCGATACCAATTGAATGGTAAATCTCAAAAACCCCTCCGTCTGAGCCAAATCCATGGCACTGCGATTTTTTTGTTCTTATTATTCCGGACATGCTTCCGTCATGTGATAACGAGTTGAAACAAAAAGCAAATGAAAGGGAACATTATTGCTTTTGCGAATATCCAAACGTGCCACGATTCAAACTGATCTAAGTTAGTGGCAGAGCGTCAATATTTCCGTGAATATTTCGCCCTCGTCGAAAGATAATATCCGATGGACCATTGTGAATCTCATGTGGTGCTCACACTACAAGTATTCTAATCCATATGTTGAGTTCTACACTGGTCCATCGAATATTATCTTCAGAGGAAGGCGAAATATTGACGCTCAGTTAACTGCCGCCGGCCGTTAAAAAAAATCAACGACGGAGGCTGTTAATCACAATAACTCAAATTATTACTCATGTTGTTTAGGTTAAGCTTTGGCACAATTGGGTTTTGATTTCTAATGTGTTCCAGCATTTCTGGATATTAGCCTAGCAACATGTGCATTTTTTTATTAATTGCGAAAACTTGACCTTGGAGATCAGTTTTGCTACAATAGGATATACGAGTGGTAAATTATTATTCCGTGATTTCCTTGCGAGTTATACACAATACTTTCTCTATACGGCTGTTACAGATGACATAATTATAACAGCGACATTTTTGATTACTTAACCCTTTCGAGGCGAGTTTTTGTTTCAAGGGTTATCGGTTAGAAAGTCATTGGTTTAAAGTCAGGGGCGATCAAATAAAACCTTCACATCGAAATTTCAATTACCTACTTCTATATTATTATAAGTGGTGGGGGAGGGGGGTGGTTTATATATGAACCGCCAGTTTTCGAGGGTCTTTGAGGCTACATATTTTATGAACGAATTTTTTGCAGATGTCGGCTCCCATAAACCTAATTGATTTATTGAACACAGTAAAACAAGAGCAATTTTGTGTAATAGTCGTAGACAATAAGTATATATAAAGTATAAAGTTTGCACTGTTTGTAGCATGAGCTGTCGTAGGCGAAGGCTGCAAATCATACGATTGGAAAATTAGCATGCCGTGCGAGTTAAACACTCCACTTTTCCTATGACTGTATCAGTAAACAGCGAAAATTCTGATTCTTCAGCTTGTAGAGATAAGTAGGTATCTGATTTGCTTGAATTTTGACATCTCATGGGATATGAGATTTTGTGAAATAATAACAAAATGAAGTCATATATTGTGATATCAGATACGGAAATAAAATTGATGACATACAAAGTACCTCATTGATTTATCGAAAACAGTAAAACAAGAGCAATTTTGTATGGTAGCTGTAGAAAAATTGAAATTATTGATCTTCAATGACGATGGATAGCAGAACAAGTAATTTTAGACGATAGGTGGCAACACTGGACCGCGCTTTCCGACTCCTCCGAGTTTGAACTGAAGCGGCAAAGCGCGAGCGCGATTCTCGCGACAGGACAGGACGAGGATAGGACAGTGTGTGCTGTGAGTTGTGTTCCTTCTCAAAATGGCAGACGGGTTGTGCTCGGGTGAACCTTTTGCCGATGTTATGGAAAAAACTGCAGAGCATGACATTGACAATGCCTTAGTTTGTGAGAAAATTGACAGTGTGGATGGTGGAGCTTGTGAAAATGTGAAAAACTTCTACATGGCAAGTGAGAGTGCTAAGTTATTCGATAAGTTGTATGTTAAATCTGGACATGAGGGATTTCTATGTGAAGAAGACTGCAGGAAGAAGAGATGCGTCGACAGATATGACAGCTCGGAATCTTCAGATAGGTCAGTGAAACTCTGCGGTTCCCACTTATAATGTTTATTTATGTCGTTCCATTCACTCATTCGCAATTTGGGTGTTTTGTAACAACTACTCGGTCATTACCATGGCCTTTACCTTCACGGAATAGCGTGAATCGAAATTGAGAGTACAGTCTTATTTTGTTGATCCCACTACGGCGATTACATTATACAATACACAGTAAACAGCATAGTGGTAAACAGTTTATTCTTCGAGTCAATGACATTTGTGTTTATTTATTATGCATTTATTCATTTTCCGTTCCATGAGCACTATGAGCAGGAGTAGGTGAGTACTAACATTTCCATCGGCATCTCTAGAGTCTCCTCTGTGTTAAGTAAGGTAAGTTATGTACCTACCTATATATAAATTTATAAATTAAATGGAAAAAAATATAGGTTTTTCTCAAGGGTATTCACTATACCTACCTAGCAGTAGGCAGGCTTTTGTGTTGATGGATTAGTGGATTATTGCTAACATGTGAGTAACGTGATTGTATTGTACCTATACCTATATAATTATATCTCCTAATGCTGATATAACGTCACAGATTACACCCAAGAGAAGGAGGTAAGTTGCATTCGAGGCTGCATCTATATTGTCTCGATGATAATGATCTATGACTATCTTGTAGGAATGTGACCCGAATGTCTTTCTCATTTGGTCTTTTTATGAAGCACAGAAACCACCCTAGGAACCATCTATGCTTTTTCTTGGTCTCTCGGCTACCATAATGAGAAAAACAATAAAACCTTGCTAAATACCTCGTCCAGCCCATTACATTCTTATCGGTTGCAAGATTGGTTATTTACTCCCAACTAGCGGATGTAGGTGTTGACGGATGAAAAAAACCTCCTTCACCTACCTTGATGTCATTTTATATTTATTATTCTAATATCATTATTCCTATAGGTAGCTAATCGAGTAGTAAGTACATGGAACACATGAAACTCAGTTATAGGTGTCCATCTTGATCGCATTCAGTAGTTTCATTTCGGACTCGACTATTGATAGGTAACAACTATTAAGTATTCATTTACTGAGAGTGATAATGTTGGTTTATAAAATGGAAACCAGACTGAAACAAGAACATAACTACAAAAACTTGATTCTGCAATTCTTTTGTATAACAAAAGATAAAAACCGAGAAAAAACAAAGGAACAGGACAGACCACAGAAGAAATTCACTCGGAAATACCTATCAAGACCTCTCGTAAACAGTTTATCCACGAAATTACATGGGATTTAAAGATTTACCTCGAGATTCCCGAATTCATTCAAGTAAAGCAAAGATACCCTACCTAACATCATCTAAGTACTCACCAAAGAAGGGGGGGTATTACCCCAGAACCTCGCCCAGAACTTTCTAGTTGAACATCCGGAACATGAAGGGATTGAAAGAAATAATTGGGAGAACTTTCCAGTTGAATAACCGGAACATGAAGTGATTGAAAGAAATAATTGGGAGAAGAACTTTCCACTTGAATAACCAGAACATGGAGGGATTGAGAGAAATAATTGGGAGAAATTCGAAGGATTAAACTCGGAGCTGAATCCCATCAAGTATGTGTAATTATTGGCACACAACTGGGAGAAATAACTGAAGTGAGGTAAATTCCGAACGCTAATTACTGTCTGGTTTACATTCTGGGTAACATTAGGAAATTACGAGAGAAATTACTCTGGTATAAAGTGAAAAAAACTGGAATTAGAGGAATTAGATGACACTGGTCAAGACGTAATAGGGAAATCAACAGAAATCCCCGGAAATTGAAGAAGTTAGCCATCGAGTTAACCTATAAATGAAAAAGTACTTGTATGAGGAATTGTAATTGAGAAGAATTCCCTCGAGAATTTCAGAAAAGTGGGAATAAAGGGAGTTATAAAGAGTTTGTTAACAACCAGGGCTACCTTGGAGCATCTTGGAGGAATCAAGAAATCTCGCAAGAAATACTCATGCGCGCATAACGGGAAATGAAATATTTAGAATAAGAGGAATCGAAACGAATTGAAAATCATTGGGCCTCTCATTAAATTGATTCTGAGAGTAATTGAAATGTCAAATTAATTTGAAGAATTATGAGAAGGAAAATAGTCTCTAACACTGAGACTTACACTGATTACTAACGGATGGGGCGAAAGATGATGAAATAGGGCGAATATAACGGCAATTGAAGGAATTGAGACGAAAGCAAGGAGGAAAGTCGAGAGGGAAGTAATGAAAGGAAACTTGCTAGGAAGTAACAGAGAGATAAAGGAAATTAACTCGGAAATTACTTGGAAAATTACTGAAAAAATGGCCGTTTACTCATAAGGACATGACGGGATATATAATAATACATAATAAGGGGTTAAAGGGATAAATAACGATATATATGAATGTGAATAGGAGAAGATGGGAGGAATTGAATGGGAATTATGGTTGGGGAATGAACGAAGGTGAAAAGAAGCATGGAGGTTATCCCGAGGAGTATCCAAGGAATACACGCTCACTTATTCACGAGGAGTGAATCGCGAAAGAAATTATAGGGAATTCCTGGAAATTCCAGTTGTTAGTAGACCACAATAATTATACCATTATACCGCACTTCACCCAAGGAATTGAAAGGAATTCCAAAGAAAACTAAGAAATTCCAGTTGTTTGTAGACCAGATTTACCAGTATTTCACCGCGGTTTACCCTCGGGTTTACCGCTCGGTTTACCCCTCGCTTATTAGTGAAAGAACAATGTTACCTCCAATGATACTTTATCATAGTATTCGATAATATTCGAAATCGAGTTCAAAATTCATTGTGGGCAGAATTCCTCTTTCACATCAACTTTGAATCATGAGAAAATATGCATTTTTAACAAAGTTATTCAATAAATACACGGGCTGTGCTCTCCGGCATACAACACAGAACCTCATTATTCGAGGTGCGCTTCGTGCCGTTTTTCTCGAAACCGGGCAAATTTTCGAGAAAAATGATAAGGACCATTTTTGTAGAAAATTAACTGAACTCTAACTGCCATATTTTAGGAGATATTGGCTGAAAACCTATTTTTCTGGTCTTTTGGGTCCATTTTCTCCGCCATCGCCCGCGTTTTCCAGTCAAACTTTGTCTCATGTTCAATGGGGTACCAAAAGCTACTTCCAACCGGAAGATGAAAATAGTGCGTAATTAATGCGAGGGGTAATCCACTCTCTGAAAAACGTACACGGATTGGACAGATTGGACGTAGGATTGGACCCATATTATCGGATATTATCGATTATTAAAAATAAGAGATTGGACATTTACATTGCGAGAATAGGAATATTGGGCTAAGAATGGACCTTGGATTGGACCGATTTCATCGGGATTGGACACCAAGTGTACACATATTGGACATAGTGGTCGACCCCTCGAATTAATGTTAACTTTTTCCCTTTATTTATTGGACTACCCATATTGATTCGAGTATTGACTGTAGTTAGCCTATAGGTAATACTTATTTTGTGAAAAAGTATACCTAATTATATATTTCCAGCGATTTCGAGGTATATTAAAATAGGCCCATTTATGGAATTATCTTTAAGTCGAAAAAATAGGTCTAAAGTGGGTGAGAACTGTTGGTCACTCACAATAATTCTCATTATACCTTGGTTGGTACATACATCATACATACATAGGTCCGACCTCGGGTCCGACAAACGAAGCCATAAAAGTCGGATTCGGTCAGATACCTCTTTACGTATATATGCACACATGCATATTGACAGAAGAAGAAGCCAGAATTCTGCGAAAACAAAAGTGAGACGAGTTTTTTCGACGGTTTCGAACTAACAATGCATTCGAAGTTCCGGTGAATAGTCCAGTATTTGAAATGCGATGGCCGAGAATATTTATTTGACAGCCATTGCCATTGGCTGATATCGTTAATTCGCCTAATTTATTGTCGAATTTCTTTTGATTGTAGGGTTGCGATTAAGGACCAAAATTGTAGAGGGAAGCCCTTTTTTATATAGGTAAGAAGGTACACACCTGGTGATTTCTTCATAAATCTCACGCCTCTGTCAGCCGAGCTGTCAGCAGTACGTTTTATCCTCGGTTTTATCTGCTTTCCTCGTGGTTTCCCTTTTCCTATACTTCCGATGTGAAAATTGAAAATTTCATCGTGTCTGACTGTGAGTGTGTCGAAAAATGTTCTTCACAATTTCGAACACTTCATTCCAGTTGACCGGTAGACTTTTTTCCAGACGTTCTTTCACCGTGATGCTATAACCGGTCCAAACTTATTTGACCAGTTAATTGGTTGTTTTTGTTTGCTTATTTGGACATACCAACGAAGCATACAGATCTCGATACAGATATACCTTCGTAATTTTGTAATTGATAATACCGATGCCATAATCGTCGATGGACAAAAAATATTTTGAAAGTCAGTGGGAGAGTACGTAAACATGCTGGCGATTACTGTTTTTGGTGTTTTATATTTTTTTTCAACGGCCTGAGAAAGTATTCTCGCAAACTTTTTAGCACTGTGGAGTGAAAAGTATAGATTTTGTGCACTAGTGCCATAATGTGAATATTGACCAACGTTCGTGTCCTACTTTTATGATATAATAATAATAATAATAATAATAATAATAATAATAATAATAATAATCGTCTTTTATTTGTACCACAGAAAAAGATACAAATGAGGCGAATTTTAGCACAATGCTAATCTTACACTTAACCTCTAAAATTGAATACAAATAAATTTAAACTTACAATATTATTGTAAAATACTATAGGTGCCTATTTATAACCATTATGATGTATCACCTTGTTGTTGGGAAAAATCTAGGAAAAATTGAAATAATGTGTTACCTACCAGTGTGCCAGATTGAAACATGCTAGAGTTAATAAGTCAGGAGTTTGAAGAACAATATTCATTGTTATTAGAAATAATTACCAAGGTAATTGTGTTAGTCGAATTTTGAAATCATATTGATCGTCGAGACAGTTCATCAATATATTATCTGATTCTCGTGATGTGGGATGTGGAATGAAGCGACATCATTAAAAACTGTTATTAAAAGTATCATGAAACATCAGGTATTCAACGTACTTGACAAAGTATCAACATGCATGAATTCGTACTACACTATTCATATATGACTCGCTCACAAACTCACTCACTTCTCTGGAACACCGTAGAAAAGTTGGCGATCTGGCTTTATTTTATAGATATTTTCATGGACGATGCTCTTCTGAAATATCAACAATTGTTCCTTCCTTGGCAGTCCCCGCGAGATTAACCCATCGAGTTGAGGCTTCGCACCCCTTCGTGGTCACTTTGGAGACCTGCAGAACATCTATTTCCAAAGACTCGTTAATCCAACGAACAGCGAGGCTCTGGAACACATTGCCAAGGGAGGTGTTCCCCATGGCATATAACCTTCAGAAATTCAAGAAGAACATCAAATCCTACCTTATTTCTCTTGGTTCTCACGATGTTCTCTGAACATTACAGGATATCCCTTTTCGTGAGAACCAGAATATATATAATATATATGAAAAATTAGTGGACCAAATCCGACACCAAATCCTATTTCAAGAGGTAGGTAATAGTATATTGTTTAACGAGCACGGAATGATAGTGATTTCCTACGAGAATGAAGTTGGCAGCATGAGCCATAGGCGAATGCTGCAATCATTCGAGTAGGAAATTAGCATTCCGTGCAAGTAATACACTATAATTTTTCTACGGCTATAATAGATAACAGCGGCATTTTCGATTTCTTCGTCTTGTAGCCATCTGATTTCCTGTCAAGTAATGCTCATCTGTTAGACAGAGCTGCCATTGATTGTAATTTGACATTCCATGGGCGATGAGTTTTTTTTTAATAATAACACAATGGAGTCATTGTGATATCAGATACGGACATAAAATTGATAAAGGACCTCATTGATGTATCGAACACAGTAAAACAAGAGCAATCTTGTCTTATAGCCGTAGAATAATAAGTTTCCTTCTCGGTTTCCGCAGTCAGTATCGAGGTCAGTATCCCGCTGTATCTTCACTATTCTAATCAATTCCAGCATTACCATCAACTTCACCACTTCACTTGTCATTGTATGGTTTTTTTCTCAGTAGCTTTAACTTTCACTTTCTTAGTTTTTGGAATTAGATAAATATACCGAGAATATGATGTCTGATTCGTTTGGTACTGCCTCGAGTAGTGTTCAAATTTTTCATAAAAACCTTAGATCTAAATGAACATGTGTATGTGTGTATTTAGATCCATGTAAAAACAGACTGACCTGACACAGACCGAACCTCCTATAGGGAACAGTACAAATCAGTTTTAGGGGGGTCTGCCGTCCTAGTAGAAACTATAAAAGAAATAAGCATCCAAAGCGTGATCTAAGGTTTCTATGGGCACTACGGAAATCTCAAGTATAGTGATATTACTCGCCAAAAATGACAGGAGCTGAAGTTTCATAAAAAAACACTAGTGAACTCGGTACCTAGTTAACATTCACCGACTATCTTTGAAGCAAAAATGGCACATGGAGGAACAGGTAGAATAGATGTAGGTATAGGACATTGAAGCCACAACCAACTACTTCCCACTCAAGGGGGCGGGTAGCCGCCTGGTAGAAGCGTTAGTATTCTAATCACGATGGCTTGCTGGTCGTGGGTTCAAATCCCCGACTGCAGATATGTTTCTGATGAAGATGTTTGGGATCACACGTTAAAAGGTAAGGCGCCCTTCATTCCTTGCTCGCACTAGTCTCTTGAAAACTTCTGATGAGGGTTGCTCGTTAGAGATCAACCGGGATAGAACCATTTTAGAATAATTTTTTTAGAATAATCAGGGTTCGTTGAGACCAGCGTTTCTATACTCGTTTCTATATATGCTTGAAAAAATAAACGAGCTCCTTGATCTTTATAAGAACGAAAAGAAGATGAGGTAATGAAGAGGGTAATCGGTCGGCGATGTGGTCTTGGGGGAGAGCTGGGAACTCTCCTGGAACGGAACTGCTTCAATCCCAAATATGTCATCACTATCATATATATAAGTGAGTATCATAGTTCACAGACCACCAGCCACAGAACAATCGGAATGACTGCTGGTGCAAGGTTACTGCAACGTGCAACCTCAGCGTACTTGTGTCAGTTGTTCCCTAGTTGTTTCACTAACTGAATGGTTTGAATATCGATTTTCGTATTCGTAAGATGTGAATCGCTCTGTACGCCGGAAATCTAATAAAAAAACCTAAACCCTTTGACGCCCTGCACGCGTCCACTACTAGCAATTTGCATATAAATCGAGTCGGCTCGCCATAGCCGGGAACATCTGAATAATAAGTCGAATCGCCCAGCCACCCTTATGGTACATTATAAGTGCGCGAACGCATCGTACGTACGTGTGTGTGTGTTGTGCACGGTGGATTGTCCGGGACAATAACAAATGAATCATCTCCCGATAAACGGATCAAGTAACACATGTCCCCTCGCCTCGCCTCTAGATAGGGGAAGCCTTTGCGCGTCTCTTTTGGTCTTGGCGGGGTTGAGCTGAAGTTTCATTAACACTGATTCGGCGCACTTCGAGGCGCAGTGTCTGCTGTCTGCTAGAAAGGGTGTCAGCAGCTCTCATATTATTTCTGATTTTTCTTCTTGAACTTGACTGCAGTCAAACAACCTTCGCATCATGCTTCTATCGATACCTCTTTTCCTTGAACATCCGATCCGACACCGATCTGAAGTTATCAGTGAGTACTCTACGAACTTCACAACACAATAATAATTATTATTATCTTTTGAACTCCAAACTTTCATCAGTAAGTATACTTTTTACGCCGGCGGAAGTAGAAGTTAGTTTCTCTGGTAACAAAAGAGTGGCAGAAGTTATTCCCTAGGGAGATAATGTGACATATTTTCTCCCTAGGAAGTTTATACCAACTTTACATTTTCCGCATAGCTCTGCGCTTTCTTTTCGGAACATCCTTCTTTGAAACGAGTATAAGCTGCATCATCTACAGAGGCTATATTCCGAATTCAACTGGTCAGTACTGTCAGTTGATCCACTGACTCTGCTGAAAATCTATGTTCCGAAATATAAAATCAAAAATTCACTACTGTAATTCGGGACACGTTTTCATGGTTTTCATCAGTAGTTGTTTCTCGTTTATCTGAACTAGATGTTTAGCCTCCTACTTGTTATAAATTTTGGAAATTTAATATTTAACATGGAAGAGAAATCGATTCTTGTATCCTCTATAGTTTCTACGATTGTTGACGATGGCGATTCAAGCTCGAATACTTGGACATTTTGTTGCCATAAATTTCTCATGATGCTCCAGATTGAGAATTGAGATTCATGAAAATCGCAATATGCCTTAATAATGATGAATTTTAGGAGACATTCCAGGTTTATTTAAGTTTATTTAGCCAATGCTGCTCCTTTCCTTACCTGCTCTACTACTTCATACTCCAGGTATTTTCTGATATTGAGAATCATTTCATTAACAACGGAAATGAATGTAACATTCCTTCCCCCTCTAAAATATGACAGTTCACTGAAGCCACACTACCTTTTGATACTCAGCAATTCCAGCAGAATGTTGAGTCGAAATATTTGGAATGAATGGTATGTCTGCTGACAAGCATCTGTCACTTTCAGTGAATTTTTTGATTTCGGAATGGAAAATCAGCAGATTCAGTACTGTCAGTTGAATTCGGAATATAGCCAGATTTCTAGATCTCACTGGTAGCAAATTAAGAATCACTGCAGAAGCAGAATCAATAGTTTCTTGGGGTTTTCCCTCGATTTCTTGTTCCATAACCGTTAACCATTTTCAAAGCTGTTTTCATAAATTTCAATTTGACATTTGCTGTCACCATGGTTATGATCGAAATGATTGGAAATCAACTCGAGAACATGGAAATAGTGTTTCTGATATGTCTCGATTTTTAAGTTGGCCAATGCTATTATGCCCTCTAGCGGCTGTCTGGGAAACTTGAAAATAATTTCCAGATATTTTTTTTTGCCACTTTTATCATAAATATTTTTTTCCGAAACCTGTGCGGCAAATAGTTTCCGAGATACAGCCGGCGTCCTTTCTTAGTGGTACACCTGGCACAACAGCACAATGTGATGGCATGCTTGAAAAAACTCGATTTGTATAATTGAGGGTGTACCTTATATTAATACATAGGATATGTTCCGAATTTAACTATCGGCAGTTTCCAGTAGCACTGCTGAAATTCTGATGTTTTGAAATAGTTCAGTATTTACAGTGAGATTACTTGTACTGAAATTCGAAACAAATTCTACATCAGTGAGTTGTCACTGTCAAGTAATTTACAATTAATTTCTTTATAATCATATTTGAACTAAAATGAATGAAAAATAAGAATATTGGTACGTGCATGGACCTGCAACTAATTATTTTAGAAGGGTTTCAATGATCGCAAATCGATGAGAAATCGAACAAATCAGACTCGAAATTCAATGAGCCGAACGAATATATGTCTTGACAGATTGCTGAGCCAAAAATAATCAGAATGGATCGAGGGGTAAATCTCCTTGGAAGTCTGGTGTACACTCCGTTGGAAGTCTTTGGAATTCTTTGGAAATCTTTGGTAGTCTTTGGAAGCCTTTGAAAGTCTTTGGAAGACTTTGAAAGTCTTTGGGAGTCTTTGGAAATCTTTGGGAGTCTTTGGAAATCTTTGGAAGTCTTAGGATGTCTTTGGAAGTCTTTGGGAGTATTTGCTCATTGGAAGTCTGGTGTACACATTTCTCCTGGAGATTTACCCCTCGGAATGGATAGTATGTCTGCTTCCAAGATTTGTCACATTCAGTGAAATTTTTGATTTCTGAACATATAATCAGATTTAGTACTGACAGTTGAATTCTGAACATAGCCATGAACATAGCCATCCATAGCCATAGTCTCCATAAGAAGCGATCTTCTCTGCTTCAAAATCTAGAATTGATAGACATTTTGTTTCGATATTTGATGATTTGTTCATTGATATTGATTAGATTAGATTTCAGAAACATAACTTTTAACTTTTTTCACACTTTCCTTGAGACAATGAAATATTTAGTCGAGGAAATAGTACCTATTTTTCCTTTTGATAAATTTCACACAGGCATCAGGCACACAAACTGCAGCACAAGTAAGTAAAGTAAGGGCTATTTTTCCACAGTTGTAGAAAGATATAATATGATATTGGAGGCCAAGCGATGGCTTCATAACGAAAGTGCGCTCAGTTGTTTACTATTTACCAAAATTTTACGTTTTGTTGTTTGGGAATAATGTTGTAGGTATAGTTTTTATGAATAACGTGAATAACGAAGTTCATTAACATCAGTTAGTATAGATGTACTTTGAACGAAACTTTCACAAGCAAATCACAAAGTAATTTCGCTATCAAACAACAAGCAGTTCTTCGAGAGTTCCAGAGGTTTTGTAATTATATCTAGGTTAATTGCAATTGTTACGTCGTCTAATGCAGTTCTCTTTCATTCCACTTTCGGTTCAGTTCAAGGTGCATTGCATTGCATTCTGCACTCCGCGCCGAATGCGGACTTGCGGACAAGAAAGAAATCGAAAGCAGCTGGTCGAACTTATTTCCAACGACTATTATTGTCCGATTGTCAGTGTGCCTATCGAAAAGCGGAGCGGACTTGCTTGAATGTCGTCATCGATCATTATGTTGATACCGATTTCTATTATTTATTCAACCGGTGTTAGTTCAAGACGTAGGTATATACAACAAACTTAGATGCCATTGAAGTAAGCGAGAATAAGATGATTTTACGACATATATTGAGATACATACCTATAATTCAAATGGATCGTTCCATATGAAAATAGTTGGATTAGATTAGATTTGGAATGGGGCCTTCGGGCTATCTGCCTCCACACTGTGACCTTTTCAGATCTATTGTGTCTGCCCTCAAAATCGATTAGAGTTCTTCGGCTAGCCCCGACTTCTCTATGAGACCCCATAGGCTAGCTTTCAGATCTCCTGTGTATCTCTGGGCTCCTGGTTTTTCCTCACCCAGCGTAAGGAACCTTAGTCTTGACAAGCCCTCACAGTGGCAAAGTATGTGTACTGCTGTTTCTTCCTCTTCTTGACAGAACCTGCACAGCAGTTCTTCAGTCAGACCTATCGTACTCATGTGTTTGTTGAGCCTACAATGCCCTGTGAGTAGTAGTGAGTGGCTTAGTAGATATTCTGTGAATGTTGGCGATGGTTTTTTAATAAACTCTTTTGCCTGTCTCATTCCTGGCGAGTTGATCCACCATTCTTGAGATTTGGTTTGCATCCATGATTTGATACTAGTCTTTTGTATAGCTTTCGCAATACCACAGGAGGGTTCTGGGCCATTAAGAGCTTTGTTTGCTCCTG